AAAAACACAACGTTGGTATGCTTGTATGAATTTTCATATATATTAAAATTTCAGTGATTTTAATTTAGTTTTGGCTTGTTAATAAAAAAAGAATAACGTAATGGACCGAGCTAGATAATAGTATTTTTTTTTTATATATTTTATCCATACATATATAATAATTATTTTCCATAAAAACTAATAGAAAACATTAAATAAAGAAATGATAATTACTAATTAAATTTTGATAATATAAATATTGTGATAAATGCGCAAATAACATTACTTGCTTGAAATACACGTAATTTTGATAAATGCATGATAAGGATACATAAAATGCACATTATTTCGTATAGTTATGCACAATAAAAAATATCGTGTTATACAATGCACAATCGTGTTAGATGAAATGCACATTAATTCGTAACAGAATGCACGTTGATGTAACTGTATATTATGTGCAATGATTCGTAAAAAAATTAAAATTACACTATTGTTCTATTGTGCATTTTTACAAGTGTTGAAGTGCATTTAGTTTATATCTATTGTGCATTCTGTATCGCGTAAAGGGGTGTCCATAGTTAAAAAAAAAATTGTCTGAAACCTATTGAAATGAACTTTTCAGTTTGGTTTATAAATGTCAATTCAAAAAAAAAAAAATGTCTGAAACCTATTGAAATAAACTTTTCGGTTCGGTTTTTTATATGTCGATTCGGTTATCAACTTTTAATTTGAAAATCTTAGTTATTTCTATTCGTTTTCGATTTTATTTTTTAAAATATTCAAACCAACCGAACTATATGAATATTATTTTTTTATAGTTTTATTATAAATGCGTATTAATCCTTCCGGACAAAAATAATGTAAAAAATAAATGTAAATATTAAAATACTCAATATGTTTTTATAATATAAATAATAATATATTCTAGTTATTTTGGCTAAACCAATTAGCCAAGTGAATAAAACTATTATTGTTGTATGATTTTAGATTGATTTTGGGATAAAAGTTTGGTCGGTTCGATTTTTCAAAAGCTCGTTTGTTTGTTTCGGTTTTGAAATTTCTATTTGTCGGTTTGACTGATCCGATCGATAAAAAATATTGTGAATTTTGTACTGCGTTGACATTTTTGTAATTTTTTAAATTTCTAATGTGCATATACAAACACGGTATTGTGCATTTTATTTATCATTATTGTGCCTTTAATATATTTTGTAAATTATAGATTTAACACACAAACTTAATGGTAATATAATTAAATTCATAAATTTGCATATCAATCACTTTAAAAGATATAATTTCAAAAAGCAGACCATCCCCCACCCCCAAATTCGTGAGATATGTGCAATTGATGCCCCATGAGCGCCGGTCACGCCAACTTACCGACTCGCCGTCGGTTGGCCCTCCAGATTCAGAATCCAGTCACCTTTGTAGGCTGTGAGATAGTCAACCTTTCGATGATATTCCAGATCTCGCCGCGCAGTCACTCTCCGGATCTGTGGCCGGTGCTCGAGATTAGTTAATATGTCAATATTCGAAAGGGATTCCAAATTCAGGCGACTTTCTGGCGGTCGTACCTTGAGACAGCCATCGACAGCGGCGGAGATGCGGTGGAAGATGACGGATGCCGGCGATTGTCGAGTTCTGTGTTGAATCTCAGGCTAGTATGTGGTGGCGGTGGCTGTGTTGTTGGGGGATGGCTACGGCGGCGGGTTGTGGCAGCAGTGTCAACGCAACCGCCTGAGCTTGTGGAGGCGACTGGCCGTGCCGGAGGCAGAGCAGGATGTTGATGGTGGCTCGGCTCGCGACGGCGGCGATCTGTGGCGGCGGCTTTATTGTGACTGACTGTGCTTGTTCCGGCGACAGGCCGTACCAGCGGCGGAGCAGGTGGCTGTTGGTGGCTCTGCTCGTGACTTTTGTTAGTGTGTGTGTGCTCCGACGTCTGTGTGTGTGTGTGAAGAAGTGTGTGATTTGTAGGTGCGTGTGTGTGTGAGAGAGAGAGAGAAAAGGTGGGATAGGTTAGTTGAGTTGATTAATGACTATTTTATTCTTAATTAGTGGTAAATTGTATATATTTGACCACCATATATTAATTTATTTACCACACTACCATTAATGATTGACCATTATTTATTAAAGTTTGATTTGATCATGGTCATACATATCATGCATCCAATGGTACAGATTCATTCTCATTTCTTTCATAGTGATAGTTTCTCATTTGAGCGCACTTCTATATATATATATATATATATATATATATATATATAGTTAGGATCATATGAGAAAGATAAATAGTGAAAGAAATAAAAATTATCCTGGATCATAGGATCAACCAATTCAATAGTCATGATCAAGTCAAACTTAATAAGTCACAGTCAAACATGGATGGCAATATAGTAAATAATTATACACAAGATGATCAATTATAAAAATTAGACCACTAAATTGGGGTAAACAAGACATTATACATTATAAGTGGACCCCACCACTAACCTACTCCTCTCTCTCCCCCATGAACACACACAACACACACTTACACACACAAAACCCCATTGCGACACACACACAACAAACACACACAAACACATACAATCTGAATGGAGCCGGCGCCGAACATCAACTGCGCCGCTGCCGCAAGAATCACCGGCCAAGTTGCCACTGACACCATCCACTACCGTCGATGTGGAGAGCTATCAGATTCCGGCACGGCAAGTAACATGTGTGGTCGACCTCGTCGGCGACTATGTTGTCGTGTTCGCCCAACGACCGTCTATCGCTGCCTGTCGCCATTCCGCCACCGCGTCGTCGCCGTCGTATATATCTTCTCAATCGCCGACCTCGATGCTCCGATCCGACAGCGAGAAGTTCGCTACCTCCGGCGACACAAACCGGTGAACATTCAGCCCGGTTTATTATTGCTCCCGCAGTCGCGTCGCCACCACCATCCTTCCCGTACCCAGCACGAAGGCGGCGAAGCTATGTGAGGATGACCGATTTTCCTTTTTTTTTTGGGAAGATGAAGTCGTCGGCGGGATGCGGCGGCGGGTGACCATATCGACGACGACTGGAACAACGGGGGTGAGCTCCGGCGGAGGTGACGGGCGGACTTGCAGAAATTGTGTTTGAGAGTTTGTGGGGTTTTTATTTGGAAATTTGATATGTTGTAAGGGATAATATGTTGTAAGGGCTAATTGCAATTTGATATGTAATATAATGAAAGTCTAATTAATGCACAATAAAGTTACATCAATTGCACATTATTATGTGAGAACATACACATTAAAAAAAAGGCCATATTTTTACAAAAGCTTATTTTTCGCGATTCCTACATATTTAAAAAATCACAAATTTATTAAAGTCCCACTTTGTTTAGGTTTTTTATCAGTTGATCAAACCAAACCGACCGATTGGATTTGGAATGTCTTTTTTTTTTTTTCCAACGACATAAATAATCATATAAATCGGGCAAAAAAATTGGCAATGTACAGATAATGAGAGCACACATGAGAGGACTTGCAACACAATGCGGCCTAGACGAAAACAGCTGAGCAAAGCATCAAACCAATCTAACAGCAATCTACCAATACCAAGAACCAAGCTAACCAGTCTGCAACTGAAAATAAATAACACAAAGAGAAATTACAGAACTCCAACCAAACTCACAAAACCCAAGCACTAGACAAAAAAGGAAATAACCACTGACACTAGACCTAGTTAATCCTTTTCTATCCTTTCTAGGTTTTGGAGTTTGCCACAGAAAAATCCAACCAATCCTTCCAAGCAGATTTGATGATCCACTCCTTCGGCATCCATTGCTTCTCAAAGATCCATAAATTCCTCGCTTTCCACAACCACCACAGAATGTTAGTGGATAACTGTATTCTTTGTTCAAAAATATCTTTGAAACTCATGGAGGACACCCACCACCACCATTCTATCACAGTCATCTGCTCACAGTGAATTCTGTTCCATTGAACTTGAGCAATCTGCCAGGTTAGAATTGCTCTGGGGCATTTAAAAAACACATGCTCTTGTGTTTCAGCATCTTCACCACATTGACTGCACAGTGTGTCTAGCTCAATCCCTCTGGCTTGCAGGTAGCATTTCACAGGAAGAATCTGAGAGTAACACTGCCAAACAAAGTGCTTGACTTTCCCCATCACCTTGAGTTGCCAACATCTGTTTCTAGCTCTGAAATTGTTCCCAGCAGCAATGTTACTTTCAGCAGTAGCTCTGCTTCTAGCCTTCTTTATAATCATCTCAGAGTATGCCTTCTTAACAGAGAATTTGCCTTTATCAGCAAATGTGCACTTCCACAAGTCAGCAGCTCTGGGGTTAAGGTTTTTAATTTGTAAGATCTTCTCTGCATCCTCCTCCTTAAATAGTGCTTTCACTAGGTTGGAGTCCTAGTGGCAGCCACCTGCTATAAGAAGGTCCTTAACCCAGAATAGATGGCCATCAATCTGAGTTCTCAGCTCAGGTTTGTCTTCTTTCACACGAGGAACCCAGTTGTAGTCATTAAGCTTAGTGGATACTCCATTTTTAATGATCACACTCATTTGAGATTTCAACACAGGTAACAAAGATGCCCAGGATTTCCATAGCCAAGAGTCTCCATTAGATTTCACCCAATCAAATAAAGAGCAAGTAGGAAAGTACTTACTTTTCAGCACTCTGCATACCAATAGGCCAGGTTGAGAAATCAATCTCCACAACTGCTTCAAAATAAGTGCTTTATTAAAGACTTTGATATCCTGAAAAGCAAGTCCACCCTCACTCTTAGGAGCTGTTAGTCTATCCCAGGACATCCAGTGTAGGCTAGAAGATTGCAAGTTTCGTTTGTTCCACCTAAACTTTGCCAAAATCCTGCAAATATCTTTACACAGCCCAAGAGGCAGTACAAAACATGAAACTATGAAAACAGGTAAAGCTTGCAGCACAACCTTGATAAGCACTACCTTTCCTGCAATTGAAAGAAAGTTATTTTTCCACCTGCCAATCCTATCCTTCACAGAGTCAACCACATACTGAAATGCATCTTTTTTCGAAGCTCCAATCCCCAATGGCAGCCCAAGATATTTGGAGGATCTTTTCACCACAACACCCCTAAGGATAGAGCTGATCTTGTCTGTCATTTCCACACTGCAGTTCTTACTCAAGAACATTGAAGATTTATGTAACTTAACTTTCTGCCCAAAGAAGATCTTGTATTTGTGCAAAATATTCAAGAGGAGATTAGCATGAGCTTCATCAGCTTTACAAAATATCAGTGCATCATCAACAAATAGTAGGTGAGTTAACATAGGCCCATCTCTAGCAGTTCTGATACCTCTGAATTGACCCACACTGACTTTATGTTGAATGAAAGATGATAAAAGCTCAGACACCAGAATGAAAAGATATGGAGACAGGGGATCACCCTGTCTCAACCCTCTGGAAGCTCTCACAAACCCACAGTTAGCCTCATTCAAATTGAAGGAAAATGTAGGAGTAGAAATACAGCTAAACACCTATTTAATGAACTTAGCATTGAATCCCATCTTCCTCATGGTTTGTTTAACATATTCCCATTCCACTCTGTCATAAGCTTTCTCCATGTCCAACTTAATTGCCATGAAAACATTTGGCCCAGTTCTATGTCTGTGAAGAAAATGGAAAACTTCATGTGCAATTACTACATTGTCAATCAAGTGCCTTCCTGGGATGAAAGCTGTTTGAGAATGGCTAACACACATATGCAGACAAGATTTAAGTCTATCAGCCAGCAGCTTAGCTATAACTTTGTACAGAACATCACACAAGGCAATGGGTCTGTAGTTGCACAATGATTCAGGATATAAGCATTTGGGAATGAGAGTAATGACTGTATGATTCCAGTTCTTAAGTAATTTCCCAGTGTGAAAAAAACTTTTGATAGCACAGCACACATCAGATTTAATAAGATGCCAAAAGTGTTGGAAAAAAACAACAGTCATACCATCCTCCCCCGAGGATTTATCAATGGCCATTTTGAAAAGGACTGCGGTCACCTCCTCCTCTTTAACTGGCTTCACTAGATCACTGTTCATTTCCTCTGTGATGGTAGGTAATATGTGTTGTAGTTCTTTTTACCGGAGTTAAATCAAAAGATTCGAACACCGGGTCGTGTCTCAAGGAAGGTTAGCCGGATTGTTTTGTACGATTATTCAAGCACAGAAATGGAAAATAAAAGAAGTGAAAATCCTAAACATTCTAAATCAAGTTTGGAGATTTGATTATCGTCTACTAATTTGAAAAGCAAGTGATTGAACAGGGCAAGCAAACTAGGAATCACAAATTTAATATATAAAGAAGGAGCTAGGGTATCGGGGTCGATCAATTCCGGTTCTCAAAACACTTAACGAGCAATCAAGAGCTCGGTTGAACGCTTCGCTAAACTACTCACCTAGAGGTCTATCCTCAATAACTCTTCGTAACAAGAGGATAGACATAAATAAGCAATTCTTGAAGCAATCAACACATAAGCTATACTATTACGAACAAGCTTATTCCTAACGAACCTAGATCGAACGATTTCTCCCTTTTCAGTTTCAAAATCGATTAGATAGATCAAGATGGTGATCAATCATCAAAACCCTAAATTAAGCACAACTCGAGAGGATGGAGCAAATATCATGCACATAAATAAAATCAAACCGGAACGATCTTCCCTTAACCCTAGCTAAAGGATTTAGCTACTCATAATGCATTCAACTTCAACACTTATGATAATCAAAGCCATTCAATCAATAAGAAGATGAAACGAAAGCTTACGATTTAATAATTCAATGTTGAATACACGAATAACTGAATCCACAAGCTTAATCTTGGTGTTTTCACAATCCTAGATCAAATCCCATGAAGAACTAAGAGAAAAACTGTTTTGGAGAGAATAATAATGAGAGAAAATCTAAACCTAGGTGAAAGTCGATGATAAACTGATCAAGAAAACGGAACTTAAAAATCTGCTGTCGCGCGACCTCCGCGGCCGCGACTTAGACCTCCGCGGCCGCGGCGAACAACATCTCGCGGCCGCGACTTCCTCCGCGGCCGCGACCTCCCCGAGCCAGAAATTGGAATTTGCGTGCACCTCGCGGCCGCGACCTCCTCTTCTCCGCGGCCGCGGCGAAGAATTTCTGAACTTTGGTTTTCGGGTTCGTCTTCTCTCGTCCGGACTCGGAATTTGATCCCGTCTTCTCCAACACGACCCCAACTCATCCAACTAGACAGTAGACTTCGCGTAGTCATACACCGATCCACCAAACCTGCACATCACCACCGACAAGAAATACGGAAAACCGGGGAAAACGAACAAAAAGACCAAAAACGACTAAAACAAAGGATAAGTACGAGACGACTCGAAACGGACCAAAAACCAAAGAAAAATACCTAAGTAGGGGAAAAACAAGCATGAAATAAACAAAGAAAACATGACAAAAGTGGAACGAACA